GACCTAATTACGGCCAGTGTTCTCATCGCGGCCACGCGCTGCAGCTCCCCTGGTGTGAAGCTCGATTCGCGACTCCCAGCCCTCGGCTTCCAGCTCCCAGCTTCTAGTTCTCAGCTCCTAGCTTCCAGCTCCCACAGTAGCTCCAAGCTCCTTAGTTCCCGACTGCCGGCCATCTTCGCTTGTCTTCTGTCTCTACTCCGTACTTTTACGGTACATTCTGTCTTATGCTTCTGCTTTCTACTTTCTGTTTTCGTCGTCGGTCATTGCATCACTTGGGCGTCTGTGGCGCTTCGTGTGTCCCAAAAAGGTTCCGACGCTGTATATCCATCTGATCTGCCTTTCCTTTGTGTGGGCTGCAAGACAAGGTTGGGCTGCCTGCATTGGCACAACTAACACTCAACACACACCAGCCTCGGCGTTTGCCGCAAACAGCGCTTCTGCAGTGTACGGTCTGGATGCTCCCAGATGCGCCGTGTTACCATATCGACGTATTACCTTACTACCTCTCGTCAGCCTCTTCGAGCTTTTGGACTCTCTGGCCTCTGGATATAGCTTTACTGGGCTTATTGTTATTACTCGTGGGATGACCCATGCTGCTTCACTCCGAGTTGTAGCCCCTCTCCCGTGTCTGCGCCGTCTCCCGTTCTGCGCCTCGCTGTCTGGCCTCTTCGTTGTGTGTCGTATCGGGTTATTATTTGCTGGCACCCGCCCGGCGAGCTCTACGGCATGGACTTCTTAGTCCGTTCATAGCAATATACTGCTGTACACTCGGCTGGAGCCAGTGAGCCTTCTGCTACCACACAGCATGGGAAATATTCCCTCCGTCGAGGCATCGCAGACGGGTTCTAAGGCTACCCAGAAGCTCTCGAAGCCTCGCACCGGCAATCCCACAACAGCTGGTCTGTTGAGTCCGGTCGGCGTGTCTGACATAACTCGGCGCCCTCCCTCCACCATTGAGAGACGTCTTTCTTTGCCATTGAGCTCTACGCCTGTTTCCTCCCCACGCTCGCCGGAGGCTGAGCATGGTGCTGCGGATGACACAGAAGGTCTCTACGCGGCTCCTGCTCTAACCGACGATTGCTCGTCCACGTCGGTGTTCCGATCCGACTCCCGGGCTCTGCATCAGGTCAGCCAGAATGCTGGGGTTATGGCAATCCCGAGCCGCGGCCGACGCACGAGCCGGACAGATATGGCTTATATGGCCACCTCCGAAGCTTATGAACAAGCTCATCTTTCCCTTACAGCGTACGTCATCTATCTCAAGTAAGATCGCGTCCATGCCGTTAATAACTTAAACAGTAGCTCACCAAGGAATTATAATCTGTCCTCTCACGAAGCGGAGCAGCCGCTGAATATCGTTGAGCAGCCCCACTTTGAAGATCACTCCATCGTCTCGGAAAGCCACATGCAAATAGCATTATCGAGGCGGCAGAGTCATTCGGCATCTCATCATCCAGATGCCGTGGCACTTCTGCCTCGGACTAACTCGGAAGCCTCACTATATACACCGATGCGCAAGAGATCGCTGATGACCCCAGGACTAGCAACACGGCCCGCCCCAGCGGACCTTACTATCCCTCTAAAGATGCAACCCGAATATAGCATGCCTTCGACACCATCGCGTTGTGATTCTCTAGAGTCCACGAGAGCTGGATATCTCTCCATTCCACGGCCTTCTTTTGATCCGAGTCTCATGCCCCGTGCTCTGACACCTTGCGAGTCTGACTATAAACAAACAGGGGCGTTCAAGCATGGTACACTGAGGATAACCAATGGTAGCCCGGCAAGGACCCCGGCCTGGGATATCACAGATGAGGGTGTTCATGTCACTACTTCGCCAATCCCTACGAAGCAGGACGATTATTTCGACACTGGAAGTCAGTTTCAAGATAAACAAAATGATGATATTGATGATAGTCAAGGTTTCAATCAACTCCGTCCAGCCACCGCACCACTTGCTACCTCGGCGAATTATCTGGCCACTACAATAAGTGGACAAGAGGCTATTTTAGACTTTCTACCTCAGCTCAAGCTCACCATGAGCCCATTCTCAATGGATGAGATCGAATCGGGTTTACCGGCGTTACAAACGACCAGTAAGCATACAGCTTTCGAAGACGAATTATTCGGAGATGGATCACTTGAGTACGACACGGAGCTATTAAACCTGCGTTTCGATCCTGTAGCCAAGGCCCATCCGCTGCCAAGCCCGTCGTTGAGAGGAAAAGAGAAAGACGCCAATCAAACGGATGGTGGTGCGGTATCCATCTCGAGGGCCGGTGCTCCCCATAAAGCCTTGTCAAAAGCGGATTCTGGCTATAGCTCTAGCGTCTCCGTTCGTTCATCATCTTCCAAACGCAACCGGCAGCGGCAATTAGGTCATTCTTTCAATATGGAGGCATATTCGCCTCACGCCTCTGCTTCTGAGCAAGTGGACACCCCAGGCAATGAAATGGCACTAGCCCACTCAACTGCCGATGGTGGCTCTTTGGAAGAACCAGACCAAGTTTCTTCGTCCCCAGGCCTGCCGTCACGAGTCTCTGAGAAAGTCCAGACCAAAAATACAGACTCAGTTGATCTTCCGTCTGGTGGCCCCCAAGCTGTTTCGGAGAAGTTTGGCTCGGGGTCAGGTAAGAGCTTCGCTGACAGAAGTGCTGGATCCGCCCACCATCTCTCCTCGGATCAAATTCCCACGCCGACCTCAACATTGGGTGTCAGTAATGCGCGGAAACCAGGAAGGCTTCATCGGCTTCTAAGCGGTGCCCGAACCCCGCTGGCAATGCACATGACGCATATTCTAGATAAGGAGGCCGGTGTATCCAATGTTTCTCAGACAACGCAAGAAAAACGTGCTGGACCAGTTCCTGGACATGGGGAAAATAAGCTTGAGAGAAAAGAGGCTGCGAAAAGTGCCGCGAGATGCGCCAATGTTGGCAATTCGTCCGATCATAACAAAACTCCGACGGCCCCAGCTCTTCAGGAAAATGACTTTAACGCGCAGCCAAATCAAGACAAGACGCGCAGTTCTAGATCCGGTTCTCTTATTAATTCATTAGGCTCTAGAATAACACGTGCAGCATCTTCCGTTATGATTAGGAATCCAATCAAGAAGGGGGCAATCGCTAAAACAAAGCCAGTTGATCAAAGCACAGTATATCCGACTTCTGGATCTTTCACAAGCGGTCGAGGCCGTAGTGAGACTCCCAAATGGTACCATAGGAGCACCAGCACTCAAAACTTTAATTCATTGATACCGGCTTGCGAGACAGAGGGATATAGTGAGATAGCAGTGACAACGGGTCGATCTAAGTCTTTATCTGCTGCCGTAGGCCACTTGGATTCAAAGATGCACCTCGGCGCGCGACATAGCAGCCTGCTCGGCCAGAGAGAGCAGCATGCGGCTCCAGTTCAGAAATCACCACTCCCAGGCCATAATGTCGCCTCTAGAACGCCACCACCAGTGAGTATGATAACACGAAATACTGGCTCACATCCGCTTCGAGCGCATCCGACTCGGCCGCGTTCGACCCCTCCGGCTAGATCAGGGGCGCATATACTGTCGCACAAGCCAAGCCGAGAGAATGGTCAGACCAATATCCCCTACGATTATCCTATAAACTCCGTTCATGCTGCCTTACCTTCTCGACCAAGCCAAGAAGCCATGCGCAAGCGTACCATACCGCAGTCCCAAGCACTCTCGAGCCAGCTACCCCAGGTGCCCGGTATTCCCGTCGTACGCTCCTCCAATGTTCCATATCACCCCGGAGGATATAGGACTACAGGCGTTACTCATTCTCAGCTTGGTACAGTCATACCTAGAGAGCCGTCATTAGATCATAGTAGACGCAATTCTATGTCCAGCCAGACAAGCCAGCGAAGCACTCCGAGTAATGCACAGCATTGGCCCAATCATGCAGTTTATGATAGCGCTACCCTCCGGCAGAGGTCAAGCTATGACGGGTATTCATTTCTGACACAGCAGGGTTATAGACAAGACAATGGATCACATCGATCCCTATCTCTTGCGAACGGGCAAACACATATGTTTGATTCCCAGCGCGGTCAGCCCTCGCCCCACCAAGCTTTACAATACCAACAACATGCATCGTTCGTTTCTCACGGTCATCATCGGCACCATAGCCTTGATCGATACGGATCTCCTGTTCCATACCGTGTTCTTCATAGCTACAATTCTCCAGCATATCGAGGTGTGCCAATCTGGTCGGGCTGAATTGGCTCCCCTATTAATCGCATCTTCGTGGGATGCTCTACATTTAGAGCGACAGGCTCAAGTTTTCTATTTGTTTGAACGGCTACACATCAAGCATTTACTGGTGTCCTAGTTCGGGAATCGATTTATTATGACCTACTATGTACCTATCAAAAATGTTGTGAAACGGATTCTCCAACGAACGTGGTAGATACCCCGAGACAGCAACCTGCTAAAGGCCCGACAATACCTTCATGCAGCCATCTTGTATATATACATATATTAAAAATGAACATACCATATCCAATTTATGCTCTGGGGCTTTGGCTGGGGATATCTATAGATTCACTGTCTGCGTGTATCATTTCCATCCCAGTCAGCAGAGCCGACGCACTAACTAATGAAATCAGGTCCACAAGAGGACGTACGCTGTGTGACCTACGTTGAACGCGAGTCAGCTACAATGAACAAGACAGCTGCATAAAGAATCGAGAATCACTTGTATCTATTGAATTACGAAAAAAAAAAAAAAAATCATTCGAACGTTGGAAATGCGTGCTGGGATACAGTATCGAGCTCATAGCGGAAACGCATCCGTTGCATGTTGGCGCGTTGTCGTAAGAATCGTGATCCATTCGACTGTCGAAACTGCTTCTTGCTTGACAGCACGCCCCGCCAAACACGCACCTACGCTTTGTACTGTACTAAAATTTTCAACTCGCGCGCCAAATTCCGCTAGGGAGACAGACGGAACATGACGGCACGATAGCCCCCCATGCTCTCGTCGCAAGGCAAGATGGCCGAGTTGGTTATGGCGTGAGGTTAAGGTCCCAAAAACTCTTAGCACTGGTTTCCTCATGGAGCAATCCGCGTGGGTTCAAGTCCCACTCTTGTCAGCTGCTTCTTATCCCATTCTGAGGATGATTCTTTTTTTGTCGTTGATTTTGTCATCTATGGTTCTTGCTTTGGTTCGCCAATGTGTGCTGTTGGGGTAGAGCGAAGACTTATGTTTAGTGTGGTGTTGGCTACGAGGTGAGTAAGCGAGCCTGAAGCTTTTGGAATTTATGCTTCATTGGAACGAAATAACAGAATCATAGAGTAAGCAATTGATAGATAATACTTGAGGTTTAACCTGCGTGGCTTATCCTATACGGATTCCAGCAGCATCGCACTCCCCGCGCTACATTCTCCGGCAAGTAGCAAACTAAACATCCCGACCTCCTTTCCCTCCTCCCTAAGTAAAGCATCTATGAGCAAGCAGCCTCTTAGACAAGATGGTTCCCACTCCTAGTCTGCACCGTCTCGCCAGTCGTGTTTGAATCGCGCAGGAGGTACATGTACGCCTCAGCCACCTCCTCGACCGTCCCGGGCCGGCCAGTAGGCACCTTCGAATCCTTCGCAAACTGCTGCAGCCAGGCCTTGCGTTCCTCAACGGACTTGAAGGCCGGGGCCCACAGCTCGGTGTCCACGAGCCCGGGCTCGACGGCGTTGACGCGGATCGGCGAGAGATCTAGCGCGAGGTTGCGCGTCACTGGGCGATCGGATTAGTACTCAAGCTGGTCCTAAGTTTGCGGTTCAGAGACATAGGAGAGAAGGAAAGAGGGAGGCAGAGACGAGATAAGGACAATTGGAGAAGAGATAACGTACATCCCTTCAGCCCCGAGGCGAAATACGCAACCAAGCTCCACTCAGGGGCTGGCTTCGAGGCGATAGCGCCGGTAGTCAGCACAAGGCTCTTATCCTTCCCCCCTTGGCCAGGGGCATCGCGCGTAGCGCCAGCGAGGTGTTTCTGCGCCGCCTTGCCTACCATAACAGGGACCAAAAACCGCATATGCGCGGCCTTCAAGGCGGTCTCAGGCGTGAGATCCGCGAGCTTGCCCAGCGTCAGGCTATCTGCTGCCGTGAACACGATGTGGTCGATCTCGCTCGTCAGTAAGGCCGCCTGCATCAGTAGGGAGTCGATGGCATAGTCTACGTTCCCTTCGAGTAGGTTGCACCCGAGCCCGATGACGGAGGAGGAGGGATACTCGGTCTTGATGGATGAGACGGCTGCGTCGGCGCTTTGTTGGGATGAGCCGACGAGAGTTACTCGTGCCCCGGACTCGATGGCTGCTTCGACGACCCCGCGTCCGATGCCCTTCGTGCCGCCGATCACGACGACGTGCTTGTTGGCGAGTTTGTTGTATTTGGCCATTGTTTGGGTTGCTGGAGTGAGACTCAGGGGGGAGATTGATCGATTGATAGAATATATTTTTTTGGGTGTGTGTAGATATATATATCTGTAGATTATACCAGGATTGAAGTTGTTGCAGGATAAGCTGTGATGTCTGTTGCTGACGCCATTCACACACACAGTTCACGATAACTGCGTCAGAACGACGTGATCTTATACTCGTCCCCTCATCCACAACCACTCCCATTTTTCCATCATTTCACTCAATCTCAGCCCCATCGCGGCAATGACTGCGATTCTCGCCCTTCGGCATCTGCCAGAATCTTAGTAATTACGCGAATTGAATGGTGTTATGCGGGCAGATGCATGCACCGGAGCTCGCGGTTTGCCAATGCTCATTACGTCCGTGGCTTGTCGACGTGCAGCAGCAGCTGAGGTCGCGTTTTTGGTAAATGTGCCGCTTACCTCAGTCTGCGATGACACCCTTGTTAATGGATATAGCCGGCGATAAGCTTGTTTTGTTGAACAATTGCCTCTTCAAGGAATCTATATATCCGAAATTCTCATCTTCTGACCGATAGCTCCATCTATTTCCCTCTTTAGCGACTTTAAATCCGTAGCGCTATTCTTGATCACTAATACCGGTGTTCATGTTCTACCTCGGGACGAAACCACAAGACCGTACGTAAACACCGTGTCTATGGTCTACCTGATGTGTGTTGATTTGCTCAACTGGGTAAAAATATCTACCGCGGGTGAGCATGTGCGTGATATAGGTACCCGGGGTCGGGTATATGTATGTATGTAACGTTTGCATAGGTAGTGCAGCACGGCATTCCCGTCACAGCGCCATATTGACATGCAGTCCCGAAATCCGGGGTCGGTGGGTGAGAGGCTGTCTGGTGGTGATAATTGATATATCAGATCTCATAATCTAAGACGACGTGTAATTTCTACAAATCCATCGATGTTCGTACATGTTAAGAATGTAGTAAGAAATTCCAAATACTCGCTTTACTATTTAAACGGTACCTAGGAGTGTAAAGAGCAAGCGGTGATAGATATGTAGTACGTAGGATAAAAAACGGCTATTCCTGTTATACAATGGCCACTGTCGGGCGTGCGGCGACAACATACAAGTGGTTCATACGATTTAGCACCGACTGAGCTAAGTCAGTAATTCTCGGCCATACTAATCACTAACATATACTAGGTGGACAACATTGAAAACGATTCATGTATGTTACGGCGGCGCACTTCGCAAAGCCGTGCACGAATTCTGGAAGAGCGTGTTAATTATGAGGTGGCGAAGATAGTAAGAAACGCAGCTGCGAAGCTGGCTTCCTTGGAGCCTATCTATCTTGACTACTTGAATTACCAGGGTGGCTGGCTGCCACAACTATTGCTTCTAGGTAAGTAACCCCTTAATTATCTCTCAGTCTGTCTGTATGCCTCCGACCAGACACGGAGAAATAGGTGGCCATCTTGCGACCCGACGGCTTCAAGCCTAACCCCTCGCCAGCTTTTCCTTTTCCTTTTCCTTTTCCTTTTTTTCGGGGGTTTGTTTCAGTTTTTGTTTTCGGGGGAGCAAGTGCGGAGGTTTTTTTTTTTTTTTTTCAGTTTCTTTCTTTTGTATTTTTGCCTAAGCCCCTTGCCAGTCGACCATCATGAATTTTTGCAAATGACTCCTTCCAGCACATAAACAGTGCTCGAAAAGAGGCGCAGTGTAAGTCGAGCATAAAACCTCATCCGTTCAAATTCGTCACGGGCCATTCTGTCGTCAGCCTTGAACTTCGGATCCAATAATGAATCAATTAACCACGGCGTCGACGCATCTGATTATGCGCAGAAATTTGCGCAACCGAAGGTGACATGTACTTCAGCTGAGCCAGAGGGGTCTGTGTAAGCACAACAAAGTTAGGGATCATTCTCTATGGGAAATGTAAACCAAACGCAGAAGTTTTCAGGAGGCAAGCAGTAAACACTTCAAATGACTAACCTGGCCCCGGAGACGCCGCAGCTTAAACCGTTTGTAACGGCCTCCGTTTTTATTCGTACGAAAGCCCCAGCCCACCACACGATATAGGCCGTCGTAGCGCAACCCGCACTGTGGAAGATGAGGGTTTGTTTTAGGAGTGCTTTGGGCGCCTCCAGATCGAAAGACTCGGACCGGGTTACGGGACGTAAATGATGCATGTAAACATTTCGTGCCCTGAGTAGCCGGAGCTGGCTGGTTGGGGTCCTCATTTTCAAGACTGTTAGACCCCGAGTAATAAAGAATGTTGCCACGATCGCTGTTCAATTCTTTGTAATGACTAGCCACTACAATCGAATAAGCTCCCGTGTCTTCGTTACCGGAGATACCTCCCATATGGGCGCCATGGGCGCCTCGAAAGAGGGCAGTAACCTGCAGCGGAAACCAGTCACCAAGAGCGATACCGTTATCACCATAAACTTTGTGGTTTCGCCGAGAGATGTCTGTTCTCAGGCGGTATCTCTTCCGCCCCCCGCTTGTCTCAATCGTGATGCCGTACAATATACCATTTAATCCAAAGATTGGGTCATTGGCTGCTGGGGGTTGGACGGTAGTAGTAGTAGGCGCTCCGTTGGGAGGCGCTTGTGAAGCTGCCGCGGCAGAAATTGGTGCGAGAGAATTATTCATCTTTTCTCCGCCTCAGAAAAGACCAAGCTGTGAATCCTGAGGCAATTAGAATTAGACTGGGTTGAAATGTGAATGGCCACGAGGCTGAGCACTAAGTGTATTCGGAGCCAGTCTATCTGGCGTGGTATGAATCTGTGCTTATTTTCTGATGATGGGCGTGACCCGTGAACCACCGTGTTGCCGTGCTAGGGGAGTGAAGAAAACAAACCCGGTAACGTGGAATTGGCGATAGAGGAAGCTGGCAGTCACGCCTTACTTACCGAGGACGCGAGAGGGCGAGTTGTTTTGTGCAGGAGTATATAATGGATTGTTTTGAGAGACCGCAAGAACGCGTTTCGGTCCGTCCCAGTTCGATCCTGTGACCGAGAACCACAGTCAGATGCTTAGAGAGAGAGGGGGACTCTTGGATGGAGTGTATAGTAAAGGGCAGGATAGATGGGATAAGTCGGCTTCTGTGAGCGGGAACTGGGAACTGTGACAAGGCCCATCCACAACTTTTGAGAACTTAAGACGATAACGTAGGTCTCCAAGTACTCAACAGTGAACGGCTAGACTGGCTTAAGTACGTCAAGTACTTGGCTGACTGCTTAATGGGCTGGTTGTCCCGCTAGTAGTGGCACGTGATAGCACTTGGCCAGAAATTTTCGAAAGCAGTTGGCTAAACGTTGCTTCCTGGATGCCTCGGGAGCTCTATAGGGCTGCCTTGCCTTTTTGCTTTCAGGAAGCGACGTGCTGGACGTAATTGTTGTGCGACTTAAATGAGTTGCGTAATAGGGGTTGTTCGTCGCTGCCTAAGCAGATAACGCTTTCCAGATAGAATATCAGGTCATGTTGTGATATATCCGCTGTCGGATAACAAGGAGCAAGAACGAGCCGCCAAATAAGACCCCCAGGTTTCGGCCCAACGAAATAATATGCCGGACTAGATAAGCGGCTAGGCGAACGAAATAGGTATGTTGAAGCTGAGACCAATGCCTGCTAAACTTGTAGAGGCTCCGAACCGAGAGACGCTTTCGATTTATATTCACTATAAACAAGCATTCTATGCATTCATAGTTGCC